CAGCAGACGCCACGCCCAAAGCGTCTGCGTCCTCGGAGGGCGGCTCGCACGGCCCCGACCCTGCCGCCGCCAGCGCTGGTTCGGCTCCCCCGGCCGCCAAGCGTGCTCCGCCTCTGGCCCTCCGCTCCAAGGCCGCGGCGGCCCCTCCGCCTGCGATCGGGGGGGGCTCGTCGCGCGTCGGCTCACGGGAAGCGCCAAAGGGGGCCACGGCTGCTACCCCCCGCATCTTCCAGCGAGCGGCCAGGGTGAGCGCCTCTCGCCAACTGCTTGGCGTCGTGGACGGGGCCTCGCGCAGCACCATCGAAGCCGCCTTCAGGCGCCAGTCCCTAGTCTACCATCCAGACAGGACTCCTGCGCACTTGGGGGCCGATGAGCGAGCAGCCCGCGCGCTCAACTGGAAGCAGCTCTGTGACGCCAAGTCAGTGTTGCTCCAGGCCCTCTCGCAGGCCGCCGCGCCGCCCGCTGGTCCTAGCACGGGCGGTGACGGTCCTGCCGCTCGCGCCTACGCCCAGGCAAAAGCGGCAGGGAAGGGCGCCCGCAAGGGCAAGCTGGCTCCTGGGTCGACCATGGCCCTTCAGGCGCTCGAAGAAGCGGTCTCTTCGCGGGTCGCCCTGGCGAGTGCCGAGCTGGCCCCTCGGGCTGCCCTCCCCGCCTCGGGCGCGCCTCTCCCAAGGAGCGGGGTTTCGTCTGCCCTCGCGACGCGGGCGGCTGAGTCTGATGCCATCCTCGCCTCCGCCGTGTCGCGCGGCCGCGTGGAGCTCGACGCACTCCGCACCGCGCGTGCCGACGCCACCAGGCGCACGGTGCAGGCTCCTGCACGCGGCGAAGGCGAGCGTGCCGTCGCTCGTGCCGAGCTCGCGGAAGGGATGGCCGATCGCGCCTACTTCCGACGCTTGCGCGAGGCCGCCAGTCGTGAGGCCGCGGGCTTGCCGCGTACGGCTCCCGTCCAGCTGGGTCGGGATTGGCGCAAAACTCTGCGCGCCGTCCTGCACAACGCTGAGGTCTCGACGGGCCTCGCCAACGCGGATCGTGCCGCTCGTGCTGGGGACGCCCCCGCGTCGTCCACTGGGCGCTCCCTGGCCGAGGTGGAAGCTGTGGACCCGCGCGCCTTGGCGAGACCTGCCGACGACCCAGCGTCCAGCTTCAGCCGTCGTGAGGGGCGCGCGGTCCGCGCCCGCCTGGGCCCGCGGGACGAAGCTGTCGAGGACCAGCCCAATCGCGGGGGTCACGCGCCGCACTCCGCCTCGCGCACGGGCGCCACGCGCAACAGGCGCGCCAAGAAGCAGCGGCGAGCTTCGACGGCGGCGCTCCCCGCCCCTGAGGGGGGGGCCGCCGCGACGCCGGGCCGCAGGGCGCGTCGCACTGCTAATGCGCGCCGCTGGGCAGGCGCGGCACGCCCCAGCTCCGCCGCGGGAGTGGGCCCTCCACCGCGGAGCCGCAGCCCTGCCCGCAGCCGCACGCGGTCTCCGAACCCGTACGGGACTGATCACACCTCTCCCTCGGGAGGCTGCTCCTCGCCTCCCATCGACGGCTCGATCTCGCCTGAGGAGCCTTCGGGGCCGCCGGCGGGGGAGGCATCGGAGGGCCCGCACACTCCTGACGGGTCTCCGCCCGCGAGCGCCCGCAGCCGCTCGAGAGCGGAGCCCGCGTGCGAGGAGGACTCTCCGACGGAGCTCGAGGACGTCGTGCTGAGTGCCCTCGCTGACTCCTCGGTGGACCTCGAGCGCGTCGTGGCGGGCCTGAACCCCGAGGTCCTCCTCCGCTTGCAGGCGGCCTTCCCTCGCCGCGCGGAGGCCTCTCCGCCCGCCGCTCACGCCGCGGCTCGCAGCCGCTCTCGGGGCCGCGGCACGCGTGCAGGCTCCGAGACGCCGCGGCCCGTCCCCCCGCCGCCGCCACCACCCCGTCACCACTCTGGTGGGCGTGCGGCGTCGCGATCCCGCGGGTCGGCCGCCGGCCAGGGGCTTAGTCGAGCGAACGCGCGCGACTCCTCTCGTGCGCCTTCGCGTCAGGCGACGTCGCCTGGGCGTCGCGAGGTGCGCTCCCCTCGAGTCGCTCCGAAGCGTCGCCCGAGCCCCGCCACTTCGCAGCAGCCAGCCACGCCCCGCCATGGTGCGAGCTCGGACGTCGCCTTCGCAGGCAGCTCCCGCGCGGACTCCGCTGCTCAGGCCCCTCCGACTTCGGTAGGCATGCGCTCTTCCAGCGATGCTGTTGCGGCCCCGCAGGGAGGAGGGCGTGCCGCCGAGGAAGGGGGGTCTTCGAGTGGCTTCGCGCTTGGCCGAGCTTCAGAGCCCGAGCTGCATCTCAGCGGCTCTCACAGCGGTGACGCTGGAAGCGCCGCGGCTGCAGCCTTCGCAGCGCGGCGCACGGCCTCTGCGGCCGCTGAGCAGCCCTTGCCTCCAGGGGCCGCCAGCGCCCTAGCGTGGCGCCTCAATATCGGCGGTGAGAAGATCACTGTGGTGAGGTGGGGACCCGCCTGGCAAGCTGCCTTCCAGAGCGCGGCGTCGTGGCTGAGGTCTTTCGCACCCGCAGGGGCCGCCGAGCCCGAGGGCAAGGATGACTTGCACTGCCTCCTGCGGGCCTTGCACGCCTACAAGCGCCTGTTTCAGACAGGCGGCGCCGAGCCGATCGACGAGGCCTCGTGGTTGCATCCTTACGTGGCCGTCGCCGAGCCCGAGGCTATCCCCGCGCATGCTGACCTCCAAGCCATGGGGGCGGGCGCCATCCGTGGCATCGGGCTCGGCTCAAAGATCGAGCAGCGGCGGCGCGCGGGCAAATTGGCCTGCCTTTTCGACCTTCTGTACCATGTGCAGGACAGTCACGGCGCCATCCCAGCAGCGCTGTGGGGATCCCACTCCCCTCCGTCCGAGATCCTCGACGCCTTCGCGGAGGTGGTGCCCGTTCCACATCATTCGGGCTTCACGTCCTCGGCAGCTCGTTCCGAGCTCGCCGAAGCAGCCGCGGCTGCGCGTGCCGAGCCGCGCCCGCCTTTTGACTGGGCGACCCTCGAGGGAGGGGGCGCTCTGCCAGCCGAGATCGAAGCAGGGGCTCGCCGTGCCTACCGTAACATGGGCGGATCCTTCAGCTCGGCGCGGGCGATGCTGGCGGAGGCGTCGGGGTTCGAGACCGACGGGCGGGACGCCCTCGTTCCGCCCTTCTACGCGTCCAGGCGCAGGAGGGCCGCCACGCTGATCAGCTCTCCAAGCCCTGGCCGCCCTGCGCTCATCCTGTGGTGCGTCTGCGGCCTCTGCATCTCTCTGGGAGCCGCGGCGCCGACCGCAGGCCAAGGGCTTAGTCGGGCTGCGCCGTCCGCGCCCGCTCGCCCTCCGCGCACTCCCTTCGTGCGCGATTCTCACCTCACCTCCGCGTATCTCGACCGTCGCTCGAGATCGATTGATGCCTTCGAGCTGTGGTTAGCAGAACACACTGGCGTGCCACCCGCCACACTTTACCGAAGCGGGATACTTCTCGCCCGTTTCCTCGCGACCTTCGGCGTGTGGCTTCATGATGCAGGTTTCCCTCATTATATTTTGGTCCATGCCATCTTGGGAATCCAAAGCGCCCATCCGCATTGGAAGGCCTTTCTGACAGAAGCTTGGGACGTAGCGAAACAATGGAAGCTTGCGGAGCCGCCAAAGCTCCGTCCCCCCTTGCCACGCGCGCTGCTGCGCGCCATGGTCGGGCTCTGTCTCGCCTGGGACTGGCCGGTGATGGCGGCCCTGCTGCTCATGGGCTTCACGATGTTCCTCAGGCCTGGCGAACTGCTGGCGTCACGCCGCTGTGACCTGTCGCTTCCATGCGACCGTCTCGAAGTTGAAGGGGATGCTTTTCTTTCGATTCTTGTTCCAAAGACCAGAAGAACGTACCCGACGCAACATGCTCGCTGCTCCGATCGGGGCACGGTGAAGGTATTGAATCAAGTGTTTGGGAGGTTGGCTTCCACCGATCCTCTCGCCCCCTTCGGCGCGAGCGGCTTCCGTACTCGGTGGAATCATCTGCTTTTGGCTCTGGGCGTCCCTCTTGCCAAAGCAGGTCAGGGGCTCAACCTGACGCCCGCTTGTCTGCGGGGCTCTGGCGCAACAGACTTCTATATCGCTACGGAAGACGTCCCCCGCGTCTTCTGGCGAGGGCGTTGGCGTCAAGCTTCCAGTGCCGAGCGCTACCTGCAAGCCGCCGCCGCCTCCACAGTTCTTGCTGCGCTGCCCGAGCACGCACGGGCTCGTATCTTGCTCTTCGCCACCGCCAGCGACCGCCTTGTCGCTTCGTTCCTCCAAGTCGGCCCCGCCGCTTGGCCTGCCCTGCTTGCGGCCGCCCGCCAAAACCTTGTCACTTCGCAAGGTCCTTGAGCACGGGTATGGCTGCCTCGCCGACATCGGCGACCAGACGGACTCCACCGTCTGACGCGCGGCGCCCCGGCTTGAGCGCGCGGGACGGGCCTGCCCATTTTGGGCCGCCCCGCGCGCGCACGCCGCGGCCGCGCTCGGAGACAGCTCGCTAGCGCGCGAGCGGGAGAATGCTTCTTCTATTCTCTGTGAGCAAGCTCCTGCTGTCTCCGCAGCTTCTCTGCCCCCCTCCCTCCTCTCCCACTCTAAGGCTGACGGGCGCTGCCTCGCCGACATCGGCGACCAGACGGACTCCACCGTCTGACGCGCGGCGCCCCGGCTTGAGCGCGCGGGACGGGCCTGCCCATTTTGGGCCGCCCCGCGCGCGCACGCCGCGGCCGCGCTCGGAGACAGCTCGCTAGCGCGCGAGCGGGAGAATCCTCATCATCCTCATCCTCATCAGCATCATCATCAACATCATCATCATCATCATCATCATCATCATCATCATCATCATCATCATCATCATCGTCATCGTCATCGTCATCGTCATCATCAGCATCAGCATCATCATCATCACCTCCTCCTCCTCCTCGTCGTCGTCGTCGTCGTCGTCGTCGTCCGCCCCCCATCCAGCCCCCACGGAGCAGCAGGGAAGGGGGGGGCGGCGGCGGCGGCCAGGGACAGCTCGCAGAGCGACGGCGCGGGGCGGCGCGCCGCGGCCGCCGCGGCGGCGGCGAGGAGGCCGCCGCGCCCGCCCCGTCGGGGCAGAGGAGGAGGAGGAGGAGGAGGAGGAGGAGGAGGAGGAGGAGGAGGAGGAGGAGGAGGGAGGAGGAGGAGGAGGAGGAGGAGGAGGAGGAGGAGGAAGGAGGAGGGAGGAGGAGGGGGAGGGGAGGAGGAAGGAGGAGGAGGAGGAGAGGAGAAGGAGGAGGAGGAGGAGGAGGGAAGGAGGAGGAGGAGGAGGAGGAGGAGGTGGAGGTGGAGGAGGAGAGGAGAAGGAGAGGAGGGGAGGAGGAGAGGAGGAGATGAGGAGGAGGAAGAGGAGGAGGAGGAGGAGGCGGAGGTGGAGGAGGAGGAGGAGGAGGAGATTGAGGCTCAGGTGGCGTTCAGGTAAAACTCGGCCCCGCAGTCCCAGACGCTCAGGTGATGTCCGCTTTGCCACAGGTCGGGGCGGCGTTTGAAAGTCTCCCTCGAGCTGGTGGTTAGGACATCCGAACTTGGCCGCCCATGGGCACGGTTGAGGAGGAGGAGGAGGAGGAGGAGGATGAAGCGGGGGAGGATGAGGTGGAGGAGGGGAAGGAGGAGGAGGGGGAGGAGGAGGAGCTAGGTGCGCTGGCGTCACATCTGAATTCCTACCCCCTCCCTCCCATCCCTTACCATGGCGTAGATCTCCTCGTCAATTCGCACAGTCGGATGTCGAGGAGGGCAATGATCCAAATCGTGTCGGCGATGGATGGAAATAACATGGCGTAGAAGAGCACGGCAGAGCATAGCAAGTCATAGCACGGCGTGGCATTGCGTAGCGAAACATGTTTCACAAAGCATAGCAACGCAAAGCGTGGCATCGCACAGCGGTGCGCGACACAGCATCGCATTGCACGCAGTGGCGTGGCACAGGGTGATTTGGAGGGCAATTGGGCCGCCTACAAATGGACATGGCCCTTTCAGAATTCCAGCTCCATGTCCTCCGCCACCGTGCCTGCCCGATGTCGGCGCTCTCGAATGCCAAGTGCCGAAGTGCCGTCCGGAGGCGTGGGAACGAGGCCAGCGCTGCAGCAGGAGCACGATTTCGAATGACCGAAGCACGCAATTGAGGGTGGCGCTACAGCGGGAGCACCAAGTCAGAAGAACCAGACATGACCAGACTGAACAACAAACATATAGGGAACACCAACTCATGAATCTTGTATGTAAAAATAACGCACCGAAAGAACGGGGCACTCCAGTCAGGGGAGAGAGGAGAGTAGTATTAACATTGTTTGTAGAGAGGGCGGAGGATCAGGCTGAGGAGGAAGAGGAGGAGGTGGAGGACGAGGAGGCGGAGGGGGGGGAGGAGGAGAGTAGCCAGAAGAGGAGGAGGAGGAGGAGGAGGGAGGAGGCGCAGGAGGAGGAGAAAAGCAAGGAGGAGGAGGAGGAGGAGGAGGAGGAGAAGGAAAACGAGGAAGGGGAGGAAAGTGAGGAGGAGAAGGAGGAGGAGCATGAGGAGGAACAGGAGGACGAGGAGAGCGAGGAGGCGGAAAACGAGGAGGAGGAGGAACGGGGGGAGGAAGCGGAGGAGGAGAACGAGGAGGTGGAGGAGTAGAGCGAAGAGGTGGAGTTAGGAGGAGGGGAGGGGGAGGAGAACGAGGGGCCGGCCGGGCGGGCGCCCGCCTGCCCGCTGCATGCTGCGAAGGGCCCCGGCACCAGAAAGTCACGGCGGGAGGTGCTCGGCAGCTCCCGTCGGTTTTCGGAGGTTTCCTGGCTTCGGGGAGCTCCCCTGCGGCCTCGCCGCTGCGGGGGCGCGTTGTCCCATGGGCAGCTTGAGGGGGGCGGGCGTGTTCGGCGGCTTCGAGCGGTGATCGGCGGTCTCTGGGCTTGCCTGGACGTTTGGAGGCTTGAGTTTCGATGTGTTCTTACATCTTCGTTTTATCCTCGGCGGTCCTCCAGCCTCGGGATGCTCTTCAGTAGCTGCGCGCGTCCCGGGCTTGCCCAGATCATGGTCGTCCAGGACGGACGCCAGAGGGCCGAACTGAGACGCGAAAAAGCCGACCGACAGGGCTGGCTGCAGGCGGAGGAGGAGGAGGGGAGGAGGAGGAGGGGGAAGAGGAGGAAGAGGAAGAGGAGGAGGCGGAGGAGGAGGAGGAGGAGGAGGAGGAGGAGGAGGCGGAAGAAGGAGGAGGAGGAGGAGGAGGAGGAAGAGGAGGAGGCGCAGGCGCAGTCGCAGGCGCAGGCGGAAGCGGAGGGGGAGGAGGAGGCGGAGGCGGAGGCGGAGGCGAGCAGGAGGAGGGAGGAGGAGGAGGAGGAAGAAGAAGAGGACAGGAGGAGGAGGAGGAGGAGGAGGAGGAGGCGGAGGAGGAGGAGGGCAGGAGGAGGAGGAGGGAGATGAGGAGGAGGAGGAGGAGGCGGAGCAGCAGCAGGAGGAGGAGGCGGAGGAGGAGGAGGAGGAGGAGGAGGAGGAGGAGGAGGAGGAGGAGGAGGAGGAGGAGGAGGAGGAGGAGGAGGAGGGAGGAGGAGGAGGAGGAGGAACGGGAGGAGGAGGGAAGGGAAGGAGGAGGGGAGGAGGAGGAACGGAAGATGAGGAGGTGAAGGCGGAGGGGAGGCGGAGGCGGAGGCGGAGGCGGGCGGAGGCGAAGGCGGCGGGAGGCGGAGGCGGAGGCGGAAGCAGAGGAGGAGGAGGAGGAGGAGGAGGAGAGGAGGAGGAGGGAGGAGGAGGAGAGGAGGAGGAGGCGGAGGCGGAGGTGGAGGAGGAGGCGGAGGAGCAGGAGGAGGAGGAGGAGAGGAGAAGGAGGAGGAGGAGGAGGAAGGAGGGGGAGGAGGAGGAGGAAGGAGGAGGGAACGGGAGGAGGAGGAGGAAGATGAGGAGGAGAAGGCGGAGGCGGGAGGCGGAGGCGAAGGCGGAGGGCGGGGCGGAGGCGAAGCAGAGGGAGGAGGAGGAGGAGAGGCGGAGGCGGAGGAGAGGAGGAGGCGGAGGAGGAGGAGGAGGAGGAGGAGGAGGGGACGAGGAGGAGGAGGAGAGGAAGGAGGAGGGGAAAAAACATTGCTCGAGGAGAGCTGCGCTCAGGTATAGACTGTCCGAGCTCCGCGCGGCTCCCTGGGGTCGGCGCTGGGACCCCCCCCCCGGCGGCGCTCAGGGGAGCAGCCCCTGGCGCCCCTGAGCGGCGCCCCAGCGCCCGCCAAGAGATCCGCGCGGACCTCCGAGCGCCAAATTAGTCAGGACATTGAGGCAAGGACCACGTTGGGCTCCCCCTCCTCCACCTCCTCCTCCTTCTGTTCCTCCTTTTCCTTCTCTTCCTCATCCTCCTCCTCCTCCTCCTCCTCCTCCTCCTCCTCCTCCTCCTGCGTCTCTTAAAGAGTACACCGATCCTCAGATCCAAGACGTGGGCAATCGAACACGGGAATACATCGACAGCCAGCTGAAGCAATCGGCTGTTCAGGTTGCGGGCGAGGTCCCTGGCATCGCGGGCGAGATTCTGACGGTCAGAATATCTGCTGCCTTGCAACAGAGTCATCGGCCCACAGATCGGAAAGAGCATACAGCCTCTGCTGCCCACTGCAATATCAAAAGGATGGCCGATTTGGCCGCTCACAAGTTCTCGCTGCCTCAGGAGCGCACCAAGGAGCTGGCACTACAGCTCCCGAGGGACGGCCCTGGCTCTTCGCCGCGAGCCCATTCCAGTGGCGCGCCTCTGGCTCCGAGGGAGAGGTCGTGCGGCCCTTCTTCGCCCGCTCGGCCGCCTCTTGGAGCGACGATCTGTCGCTATGGTCTCAGATGCCACCAGCCCGCTTGCGTGCATCTGCACCCCCCAGACCCCCTCGAGTCGTGAACACATCACAACGGGAAGTTTTTAGCTATTTTCGGCCCCGGGGGGCCCTAACCGGGGCTCGGGACCGTCAAACAACGAATCAGGATAGAAAACCGGTCATGAAGGCCACGAACGGCTCGAACCCGTTCCCGGAAGTCGGCCTCGCATTCTTCTCCCCCTCCACCCTCACATTCGCGCGGGCACCCATGCAGCGATTGCGCCACATGGCTGGGTGCTCCAGTGAGCCCGGCAGGGCGGAGAGGACATCGCACCCCGTGACGCTCCACCCGACCAAGGACACGCCTGCGGCGCCCGTGTGTGGCGCTCACGTGCCCAACAACACCGACACCGTCGACATCTACGAACTGTGAGATGGGGAGCCACATTAGGGACACCTCCGGGCCTGGCGCTGTACGCGGTGAAGGCAACTTACCCCGAAAACTCGACCATGGACACGCCTGCGGCGCTCTGATGCGGCGCCCACGTGCCCTACGACACGAGGGACAGCATCGGCATCACCGAGCCGTACAATGCACCTCTCGAGAAGGCCCGAGAGGACCCACTGGACTCCCACATCCCCGATGTGCCATACCTCCGCCGTTCAGATCTTCGTCGGCTTTGTCTGTGCAGCCACCGGCGCCGACACCTCGCCCATCACCTCGCCGCGCCGCAGGCCCTGCGCAATCCCGTTTCATCAGGTGCGCGCGTGACCCGAGGTACCCTCTCGTGCGTGGAAGTGTGCGTATCAGGCACGCGCACCGAGATGCAGGACCATCGGGCGCGGGCACCACCAGATGCAGGTGCGAACGCCATCGAGAAGCTGGGTACTGACATCATGACGAACGATGTTGAGGAGGGCGGCGCCAAGGGGCGCCCGACGAATACGCCGCTCTCTCTTGCGTGGCACCGAGTGTCCTCGAGCGAGGACTTGACCGACGCGCGCGAGCTGCCCGTCGACATTTACGAGGCTATCACGAAGAGCGCGCGCATCAAAACGACTTTCAGCGAAGCCACCGCGCACGCCGAACAACTTACGAGCGCGCGCGAACGTTGGCACGGTGCCCCGCCAGAAGGCCTCTTCGATCTGTTCGCGGACTTCGCAGAGTACGGTTGAGGGAAGGATCTCTTGCATCGGCACCCGTTTTTTTTCATTCGTGTGATTTGCCCATGTGCTCTCTCCTTCCCACCTCGTTCCCATCCATCCATTATCCATTATCCCCGGGTTGCCCCTCCCCCCCCTGCCAGACACGCATGTTTGCGCGCGCGCGCTCGAATGCAGCACCGCGTCGGCACCAGCCGTTCGGCGAGAGGCGGTCACGCCCCGCAGCGGCGAGCGCAGAACTGTATAACAAGAGTGTGCCGTGCTGCTGCGGTGCTGCGCAAGGCGTCAGCATTGTGCAGTGTGGCGGTACTGCCCAACGTGGGGATACCCATCAGTTTATATCACGTATCGTGAAGATGTTGCTCACTGCTCCCATGCCGTCGTAAAAACCGGTCCTGGGGAATGGGTCCGGATCTCTGGGGGTCGCGTCATGAAAAAATCATGATGTATGGGGTCTGCGCCCTGAGGCCGCTTGATCGATGCAGACACCACCGAGCAGGCGCGGCAGGATGCGGACCGCATCCTCGAGATCGACCCCCCCCCCTCCGGACGTCCGGCGTCGGTTGTTCCAGACCTGAACACCTAGGAACTTTTCAGGAGGAGGAAGCATGGCCTGGTGGCGTGCCTCCAAAGCCTGATGTAGATTGACCGTGCTGCATTTATTTGCTCACGACGTTGGGACTCGCAGTTTTCTCCGTCAATGTCTCGCTTGTCATCTTCGGCGCGTTCCTCTTCCTCGCCTTTTTTTTCCGACGTTTCCCTGCATTTCGCGGTCAAGCTCAGCGTGTGTGGTGGGGGTTACCCTCCTTAAAAGGGGCCGTCATTCATGGCACTCGCCTTTCTGCCACGCTCCACCTCCTCCTCCTCCTCCTCCCCGGTGTGCCCCCCCTCCCCCCCCTCCTCCTCCTCCTCCTCCTCCTCCCCTCCTCGTCCTCGACCTCCTCCTCCTCCTCGACCTCCTCATCCTCCTCCTCCTCCTCCTCCTCTTCCTCAACGTCCTCCTCCTTCTCCTCAACCTCCTCCTTCTCCTTCTCCTCCTCCTCTTCAAGAGGAGCGCCATCTCCTCCTCCCGGAGCGCTGGTATTCGGGCTGCTTCTTCGAATCTGAGGTCGGGGAAAGTTCGTGGCCGAGGCTCGCCGTGGCCAGAAAAGTTTCTTCGTTCCTGCTTCTGGGTCTCTTCTGTGGGGCATCGAGAGAAGGCCCGCCCAGACAAGTCTGAAGTCGGGCGTGTCCTTCGGCAGGAGGAGTATTCAAAAATAGTCAAAACAAGTAGTATAAGGGGACGAAGTGTTGACTTTTTTGTCGAGTATGTTTAGTTGTTTGTTTAACACATATGTTTTATGTGTCCTCCAAGATCTGCCCGTAGGGGGACACGCCCGACCCAAGACAAGTCCACCGAGGAAATCTGCGCCGGCTTACTGGACATATAGGCATTCGAGTGTGCAGGTGCAGTCCCCAGTCGGTTTCGCCAAGCGGCGTGCGCCTCGCTGGATACACTCGGTTGTGAACGAACGTCGGTTAGCTACCCCTCTGGGTTCCATTCGGAACGAGGTACTGTGCGAACGTGGGGTGCCCCTGGCAGCGCTCACTGAAGGGCACTTTGCGAGAGGGCGTCCCGCCGATCTTCGATCTATGGTAGCTTGCAGCTCCTCTGCAGAGGCCGTCGTCCCCCCCCCCCCCTGGAGCGTGAAGCCCCGCGGGCGCGTCCACGATCCCGGCTTGCCTGGAGAAGGAGGAGGAGGAGGAGGAGGAGGAGGAGGAGGAGGAGGAGGAGGAGGAGGAGGGGGAGGAGGGGAGGAGGGGGAGGGGGAGGGGGAGGGGGAGGAGGAGGAGGAGGAGGAGGAGGAGGAGGAGGAAGGAGGAGGAGGAGGAGGAGGAAGAGGAGGAAGAGGTGGAGGAGGAGGCTGAGGAGGTGACCTCCCTGCCCTTTGCGTGGTTTTCTCTTGTCCCTGGACGTGTCGACCGATCGGGCGCACCGCCAGCTGCATGCCGAGCCTGCTCTTGGCACGCCCTGGAGAGCTGCTGCGCGCTCCGAGGGCTGCCCCTCCGCCCGTGGTTGTCTCCTCCCGTTCCTCCTGCCTTCCCCGCCGCCTCTGTGCCTATTATTCGCACTCTCCAGTAGCCCTGTCGGTGCTGGCTCGCGACTCGGGTCCGAGACGCCGCCGATCAAAAGATGTGCCGCTAAAGGAGTACAGCCGGACCGATGTAGAAGATCGAGGTCGGTCCGGGGAGGGTACCTTACGGTTCTTCGTGCTTGTTGGATGTTCTTGTGCATCACGGGGGGGGGTACCCTTTGACATTGTGTGCGTGTTTTGGCCGACGGAGGGTCTCATGCTCTTCTGGCCTGGGTCCGCCGGTATCTGTCCACCGCCGATCCTCTCTCCTCTTCCGCCGCCGAGGCCCGGGGGCGACGACGGTCGCGCAAGGAAGGCGCCCAAGCAGGCCAAAGCGGCAAAGGAGGCCAAGGAGGCCAAGGTGGCAGGGGCGTGAGGGAAGGGAGGGGTCAGCAGGACGGATCTCACCGCCATCGTCGGTCTCGTCGTCGCTTTCGTCGTCGCTTTCGTCGTCGTCGTCGTCGTCCTCGGCGGTGGAGGACGAGGAAGGGGAGGAGGAGGAGGAGGAGGAGGAGGAGGAGGAGGAGGAGGAGGAGGAGGAGGAGGAGGAGGAGAAGAAGGATGATGATGATGATGATGAGGAGGAGGAGGAGGAGGAGGGGAATGAGGAGGAGGAGGAGGAGGAGAAGGCGGAGGAAGAGGGGCAGAGGGCTTCGGCTCAGGAGGAAGCCTGCACCTTTTTGTTTTGAAACCCCAGGCGGCGCCAGAGTTGCGGCTGCGCACAAAATGTCGGGACGCGACCCACCGTGGCATAGGCGTGCGCGCCCAGAGTTCGCGCGATAGGACCCTTGTTGCAGCGCCACCACGCGACACCTCGTGGTACGGCATGGCAGTATCTGGCATCTGTCATACAACGCAAACGGTATCCCGCTGTCACAAGCTGCGTGCACACGTGGCCACAGCTGGTCTATGTATTCAGTCTGGTGTGGCCAGGCCGCCGTGGAGGAGTGGCGCCAATGGCAGCAAGCATTGCTGTTGCGACACCACAGGGAGCTCACTGCGAACGAGTTGCGCAGATCTATACACAGGCCCCGCCGACGAGGCTGAGGGAGGTCCTTTCGAGAAACAAGAGGGACATCAAGGGACGGATCCGCAAGCCCGGAGGGACGTTGATCACAGCGTCGGAGTCGGTGGGTCAGGTTCTGCAGAAGACTTGCATGAGATCCGCATCCTCAAACAGATGCAAACCGAGGCGTCTGGAGGACAATCGCAATTACAAGAAGCAGAGATCCATTTGAAAAAAGTAAAAACTGCGCTGGGCGAGCTTTCCAAACGTGATTCTAATTTCAGACAAAAGCGAACGCAAGTAGCACATTCAATCGAGCATCATGAGCAGACCATCGAGCAGTTGACACGACAGAGAAGGGAGGTGCAGGCTGCGGTTCAGCGAATGCAGCGACGCAGGGCGAATTTGGGAGGGGGGCGAGAGCACGCAGCCTGGACGAGCCCCCCAGTCTCCTCCAGCTGCGGGTGCTGCTGCGCCAGCGGCACCTATGGCAGCAGCATCGTCAGCTACACTTCTGCACGAGCCACGGCACTACTAGTCACCCCTCCTCTCGCTACTCTTGCGATGGACATGCAGGCTGTGAGATCCGAGCTCGCAGTGGCCAGCCTCGCGATGAACCAGCAGATGATGGATTTCCGGCAATCCATGATGTTCGAAATTCGAGGCCCCATGCAGCATGTTATAGGCCAACCCAAGCATGATGATGGATCCAGCGATGGAATCACCGACGGTGCCCACGTCGACTGCGGCCTCGACTTTCCCAGGGCACCCAGGCGAGATGGCAGTTCAAGGTCGCCCGATGCAGCGCCGAGTGATGGGGTTTCGCCGTGCCCCGATGGCATGGCCCCCGCCTTCGCCATCATATAGGGGCTGAGTGGACCCAGGAAACGACAGGGCAGTTTTTGTTACCAGTTCCGTTTTGCCGCTTTTTTGCTGGTTCCGACGCCTTTTTTAAACCGGTACCGTCGCCGATTTTTGTTGACCGGTTCCGGCTCCGGTTCCAATCCTGGGGCCGTTTTTCTTGCCGTTTCCGGTCGCCGTTTTTTTGCCGTTTCCATTTTCAAGGGATCTTTTTTCTGGAAACGGTGAAAAAAACGGCCCTGCCGTTTCTGGGGCCCACAAAGTATAGGGGATGTGTTCATGGGCCCGACGCCCGCGGATTCGGACGCGGTGGAGCACCAGCAGATGCTGCAGCTGCACAGGTACGCCCCGCTCGAGCAGGCGCCCGGGGATACTTATCCATCGCCCCCGCCAGCGTTGGAGGGCAGCCCACGGCAGCCCCCGCCGCCGTCGGTCGACGGCAGCGCGCAGGCTGCGCCGCGGGATTGCCCGACGCCGCTGCGCGACAGGCCGCGCAGGGACACGTCGCAGCCATCGCCGTCGCCGTCGCCAGGACGACAAATTTCTCGGAGAAGGAAGAGGTGCCCATACTGCCACCCCTGCCTCGTTTTGCCTTGTTTGGGCCTCCTGGGGGGCCCGCGTCGCAACCGCCGGATTTGCCTCGAATTCCTGGTTACGACGCGCCTCCGGAGATGTCTGGGGAGTAGTGGTATCGGTGCCTTTCGCTTTCCCCAACTTCGCCAGCGATCGCACCGTCGATGGCCCCGTCGCAGGGCTGCGACAGGCGCCGCGGGGCGTCGCGCGCGGCGGCGGCGAGCTCGGCGCCGGCAGCGGCGGTGGCAGCGCTCGGCGACGCCGCGGCAGCGGCGCCGCAAACGGCCCGGCAAGCCGCGGAGCCGACGCCAAGCGCTGCGCCCCATTTTGCAGCCGGGCCGTACAGTCACCATCGCGCGTCCCGCCTGGCCAGCCGTCGCCGCCGACGGCGGGGCTGCCCCCTTCGCCGTCAAAGCCGCCGCCAGCACGGGCGCCGCAAAGTCTGATCCCGCACCGGGCCGGGGCAGCTGCTGAGAGCGGCGAAGGGCCAGGCGCAGGGGCTTCAAAAATTCTCGGCAGGAGGGTTTCGAAGAAGAAGGAGGACCCACGAGATGCCAACGGCGGTAAAGCTGCCCTCGCCCACCGAAGCAATGACGGAGCAATGGGGATGGCGGGCGGAAAATCGCGCACGGCAGGAATGGAAGAGTGGGGGACGATGGCCGAAGAGAGTCCCGCGATAGCGTTTCCTGCGCCACTTGCGCCCGCAGTAGCGCGCGCCCATGGGGGGCCGCGCGAAACGATTGCAGGGCCGACCGCCTCGATGGCGGTGCCGGCAGTCTGGCCGCGGCCGCCCGCGCCGCCCCCAGCGGTGCCACCGTCGCCTGCGACGCGGCCGCCGCAGCCGCTGCCCCATCAGCCACGCGGGCCCAGAGCTGGCCACAGCGGGGAACATTGACGTGGCCACCACGCCGGCGCACAGTCTTCCAGGCGACTCGGTCCCCAGCACCCTCCTCGCGCACTCAACAGGGCCTGTCTACGCCCAGAAGGGCGTCGCGAAGATCTCCGTCGATGAGGTCGATGCCGCGTGGCCCTGTGGCGCCGGGGTCGAGACGATCTCCCATGGGACTAGCTGTCGTTGCTGGCGCAGCGCGGAATGGGGGGCCGCCCCGGCTTGACCCGTCGCATGTGGATGACGCTGAGCGCGCCTCCGAGGTGCATCCCGAGAGCTGCGCCCCCGCTGCCCCGTCGGGCTGAACCACGTTGCGCGCGTCCATCGACGACGACGAGCTCGTGAGTTTCATCAGCGACGGCTCGGCCGACCTTGCCGACGACGCCCGGTCGCGCGTTGCAGGCGGCGGGGTGGCCTTCCAAGTGCGCGCGGCTGACGGGTCGCTCTGTTGGCACCGTTGGAGCTCTCCGCTCCCGGGCCTTGTTCAGACGATCGCTCGTGCTGAAATTGCCCCCCTGATCACGTGGGCCACTGCTGTGGACCGCGACTGCCGGGGCCAGGTCGGCAATGAGTCCGCGGCGGGCGCGGCCCGGGCCCGCGTCGCCACTGGCGTTCGCCACCTGCCCAGTGGCTCGGCCCCCCATCTGAGGGGCGACCCCTGGAAGAGGAGGACGAGGAGGTGGAGAAGGAGGAGGAGGAAGGAGGAGGAGTAGGAGGAGGAGGAGAAGGAGGAGGAGGAGGAGGAGGAGGAGGAGGAGGAGGAGGAAGGGAAGGGAGGAGGAGGATGAGGAAGTAGGAGGAGGAGGAGGCTAGGAGGAGGGAGGAGGAGGAGGAGGAGGAGGAGGAGGAGGCCCCCAGAGGTCCAGGCCCTCGAGGGCCTCGAGGCCCCCGAGGGTCGAGGCGCCAGCACCAGAGCAGGCCGAGCCCCCCCTTTCCGCGGTAGGGCCGACGCCGCCGCGCCCCTCGAGGGGCCCTCGGGGATGCGAGGAGGAGGAGGAGGAGGAAGAGGAGGTAGAAGAAGAGGAAGAGGAAGAGAAGAGGAAGAGGAAGAGGAAGAGGAAGAGGAGAGGAAGGATGAGGAGGAGGAGGAGGTTGAGGAAGAGGAGGAGGAGGAGGAGGAGGAGGAGGAGGAGGAGGAGGCGGAAGGGAGGAGAGGAGGAGGAGGAGGAGGAGGAGGAGGAGGAGGAGGATCAGGTAGGAGGAGGGAGGGAGGGAGGAGGAGGAGGAGGAGGAGGAGGGGGAGGAGGGAGGAGGAGGGAGGAGGGAGGAGAGGAGAAAGGAGGAGGAGGGGGAGGAGGAGGAGGAGGAGGGAGGAGGAGGAGGAGGAGGAGGAGGAGGAGGAGGTAGGGAGGAGGAGGGAGGAGGAGAGGAGAGAGGAGGAGGAAGGAGGAAGGAGGAAGGAGGAGGAGGAGGAGGAGGAGGAGGAGGAGGAGGAGGAGGAGGCCCCGAGGGTCGAGGCACCAGCACCAAAGCAGGCCGAGTGGCTGACGCCGCCGCGCCCTCGAGGGGCCCTCGGGGATACGAGGAGGAGGAAGAGGAGGAGGAGGAAGAGGAAGAGGAAGAGGAAGAGGAAGAGGAAGGAGGAGGAGGAGGAGGAGGAGGAAGAGGAGGAGGAGGAGGAAGAGGAGGAGGAGGAGGAGGGTGGAGGTGGAGGAGGAGGAGGAGGAGGAGGAGGAGGAGGAGGAGGAGGAGGAAGGAGGAGAGCCTTGCATGCCCGGGGCCGGCGCCGCCCCGCCTGGCCGGGCCCCCCCGGGGCGGGGCGGCGCGTGGGGCAGAAAGAGCAGGCGGGAGGCTCAGGAGCGGAGCGTTGTCTCTTCAAAGTGATGACCAGCACCGCAGGATGGTTGGGATTACAGGCGAGGGCGTTGCGCCATCTCGGGCCTCTGCCGGAGGTCGACAGACCTCCTGATTAGCCTGACACGTCGATTAAGGAATTGGCCGATTTCGGTTCGCGAGAGGGCGTCGCGGCCGTCATTTTTGCGGGTCCAGGTCCGTCGGTTTCGGTCCCCTGCAGGCCGTTTTCACGAAAGGGAGGTTGACTAAAGGGAGGTTTGTCCACGCCCGACTCTGGAGGATCTCGGCCCGTGGGGCATCCATCTCGGGCCTCTGGGGATCTCGGCCTCTCGGGCGAGGGCGTTGCGCCATCTTTGCCCGTGGGGCATCCGTCTTCATGGTTCCGTCCGCCCTTGTTCACCCTCCAGGGTGCGGTCTCCACTGCCCGACCATGCAGCTGTTGCCCGAACTGCGGGCCGACGGGCCAGGAACGTGTGCAGAGCACCCCTCCTCAGGGGCAACGTGCGGGGGGATAGGCTCAGAGGGGGGAGCCGTCGCCCCCGATCGGCCCACTCATCGCCGACAGGGGCCTGATGGCCCGCCCCGCCCAGGAACGATCGCGTCAGGCGGCGCGGCCGGGGGGGGGGGGCGCACAGACTGCGCCTGCACGTCGGCGCGGTGCCTGAGGGGGTCGAGGGCAGCAAGAAGACACAAGACCATTCGCCGACCCCCGCTTGCCAGGGGCGAATATGGCGTGTGAGACATTTGGCTGTCCCCCTCCCCCCTCCCTCCCCTGAGGTACCCATCGCCGATGCAGCGGCGATCTGTCGCCGATTCTAGGTCGATGTCCCCTCCCCCCCCGCCCCCCGAGCCGTTTCCCCCCCCCCCCCCTACGTCGTGGCCTCTCACCGCTTGCCCCCCCCATCCCTCCCGGGAAAAGGGAGGGAGGCCCAGACCGAGGCCCCGAAGGGTCGGGGGTGTCGTGCCCCTCGCGGCCGCGGTGGGTGCCCCTTCCCCTTCCTCCCCCCTCCTGCCCCCCCTCCTCCTCCTCCTCCTCCTCTCCTCCTCCTCCTCCTCCTCCTCCTCCTCCTCCTCCTCCTCCTCCTCCTCCTCCTCCTCCTCTCCTCCTCCTCCTCCTCCTCCTCCTCCTCCTCCTCCTCCTCCTCCTCCTCCTCCTCCTCCTCCTCTCCTCCTCCTCCCCCCTCGGAGAGGCGCGGCGGCGAGAGGGCTCCTCCCCGGAGCCGCCCCCGAAGGTGCGCCGCCCTGCAGCCGCTGCGTTCACCGTCACAGTGTCGTCGTCGGCGTGCCGTCGGCGTCGGCGGCGTCGGCGGCTGCGTCGCCGTCGGCGGCTGCTCCCTCCCTCCTACAGCCCTGCGCGGGGGAGGAGGAGGAGGAGGAGGAGGAGGAGGAGGAGGAGGAGGAGGAGGAGGAGGAGGAGGAGGAGGATAAGGAGGAGAGGAGGAGGAGGAGGAGGAGGAGGAGGAGGGGAGGAGGAGGAGGACAAGGAGGAGGAGGATGAGGAGGAGCAGAAGGAGAAGCAGGAGGCGGAGGAGGAGGAGGAGGAGAGGTTGAGAGGAGGGAGGAGGAGGAGGAGAGGAGGAGGAGGGGGGGTGAGGGGAGGAAGAGGAGGAGGGAGGAGGAGGAGGAGGAGGAGGTTGAGGAGGAGGAGGAGGAGGAGGAGGAGGAGGAGGGGGGAGAGGAGGACGACGAGGAGGACGAAGAGGAGGAGGAGCAGGGGGAGAGCAGGAGGAAGAGTGGGGAGGAAGGTGAGAAAAAGGCGCAGGAGCACCAAGGTGGAGGAGGCGGCGGAGGGGAGGGCGCCAAGGGCAGATGGGGGAGGAACCAGGTGACGCCGAAGGGAAGGTAGATGCAGCAGCAGGAATCTGACATGCTCGTTTGAGAGATGTGTCTGGGGGCCACCAAACAGATGTGATCGACTCTAGTTATGTTCAAATTCGAGTCAAGCTCGAGCTTTATGTATTCAAATTCGTCTCAAGTCGACTGACTTTCGACGCAGCATCGACGCATCGCATGAGTGGAGCGAGTGGCCCCAAGAGGGTTCCAAAATGATCAGGAGGGAATTCCGCTCGTGCCTTCCCTTGTCTCCCTCCTTCATTTGTTCATCGCGTCTCCTTTCTCAAACCAGTCCCCCGCTCCTCCTCCTCGTCCTCCTCCTCCTCCTCCTCGTCCTCCTCCCCCTCCTCCTCCGTATCCATTCTGGCTCAAGTGATTGAGCCGGCACAGGGGAGCAGCGGCCCCATTGCGTGCTGGGACGGGATCCGTCCTGGTTCAGGCATCATTCCTCCCACGTGAAATTGGCGAGGAAGGGCGATTTCACAGTCTGTGAATGCGGCAATTGGGCGATCAATTTCCGCATTTCAAGGAACAATGGCAAGTGTGCGAAGTGCGGGCGTGGTCTCGATCTGTTGAGCAGGGCAACGAGGCCACCGTGGCAGGCTGAACGACAACGCAGTCAGCACTACCAGTACTATAAGAAAGGCATAGACACGAGGGGCCCCACATCCACCACGCACGATCCGAAGGCGCTCCTGGAGCAGTTGGCGATGCCCCCGCGGCTTGCCAAGGAGGTCGCCGTGCTGCAGCGGGCTCAAAAGAAGCATGACGAGAGCGAAGTGGTGCAGCGCACTCCCCAGGAGTTCTATACCACGACGGCGAAGGAACTCAAGAGGAAGGCGGAGCCTCTGGAGCGCGCGACCAAGTTGGAATTCGAGGCGGAGTCCAAGCTGGAGGCGGCTAGAGAGGCGACGCAACGTGCATCGCTTGAGCACGCCCGCGCGAAAGCTGCCCACGCTGAGGCACTCGCGCGCGTGGCGGCGGAGGCCAACGTCCAGCACGTTCCTCAGGGGTACACCGCGGACGGCAAGAGAGTCGTCTTCGCAGTGGACGACGTCCTATTCAAGGACATCGGCTCACCCAAGGAGGAGAAGCAGTACACTTCGCGCAAGCTGGAGGCCGCCACCAAAGAGAAGTGTGATCAGGTATCGGCGATACAGGCGGCGCTTCACGAACAGTTCGCGAAGGTCATGGACATGCGCTCGGGCGCGACCAAGAGGCAGCGCACGGGCGAACAGGGGCTGGCCTCTATGGGCACAAGCGGCACCACGGAGTACAAGGAGGATGCGGCTCCACCCACCCCAGCCCAGGCGGCCAACCCGACAGACGACGACGGCCCGGAGGCGTTGGCAGAGTCTGAGGAGGCCCGCAAGGCAGGTCTGGAAGCCGAGTCGACGAAGATTGCAGAGCGGGCAAAGGCGGCTGGCAAAGGGGACTCATCATCTTCTTCGGCTCCTGCTACTCCTGCGAATGGGGGAACCACCTTCCTGCATGCGAGTGGAGTAACGACCGCGGAGAGCAGCGAGGCACCTACAAGTTCGAAGATTCGCTTCAGCAGAATTTCAGAATGGGGAATGAGAGAGAAGGCGAAGCAGTATGACATCATCGATTCTACAAAGACTCATCTTCTCGGGCGGCGCTTGCATGAGGCGCAATCGAACTGAAGCCGGGATGGTGGGACATTTTGTTGCTACTGAGGCGACGTGCACGGGCAGGCTGGCGAACGGTACTTCAGGAGGCGAGTGCATCATCGCGCAGAGAAGGGTGGTGGCCATTCCCTTCGAAGGGTTACGACAAGCAGAACGGCGTCGCACAGGTCGGGATTGTTTCCAGGGCTTCGCTCCAATCTTGTGGCGCACTCGGGTGGGGAATGCGTTGGTGGCATCGCGTAACCTCCCTGGCCGCAAGTTCAATGGCCCGAACGAGCGCACCCTCATCAGGCCAGGTGTATTCCTCAATCTCGCGAAGGGGCCGCGGAACGTCATGGGCGACTGGAATGCACGCCCAGATGAGCGGCGCAACAATAAGTGTTCGGCTAAGCTTGGCAGGCGACTGGGGATCCCCACCAGCGGCTCAGTGGCGCGCAGCTGGGGCAGAGGCGCTCTGATCGACTGCGCGATCGCGAAGACGGGGCTGGCGGAGGCAGCGCGATTGCCGATGATCCCCGGAGTGCCGCGGAAGACGCATGCTGGAATGTTGTGGGAAGTGGGGCGTGCTAAGTTGGGCTGGGAGCGCGGGACATCGACGACGGCGAAGCCATCCACCGCGGCGGCGGGGCCGACGACGAAGCCCAACCCAGAGAGCAGGAGGCAGAAGAAGCTGGAGGAGGCGAAAGAGAAAGGATGCGCGCAGCTGGAGGATCACCCGCTGGCGGCGCTCGCGGAGTTCCAGCATCCAGCGACGGAGAGCGTGCAGGAGGAGAAGGTTCCATTCCACATCGCCGATGAGACGCGGGAGCAGGCCCGGGCACTGGGCCAGGTGGAAAGGCGGGGGCCTGTCCCGCACTTCCCCGCGGATAGGGGCACGACGCGCAGGGATCGGCTGCCCCAGGACTACGCAGCATAGGTTACCACAGTGGAGGAGGCGACGAACACCCACCGCCACGCACAGGACACGGGGGTCTCCAAAGTGCGCGGCCGAGCCCGAGGGCGTCGCGTCGCTCGGGGGCAGACGCGCGCTGCCCCCGACCGTCCACATCTTCGTGATCCTGCTTCGGAATGGTGGAATATCTGCACGACTCTCCTGGTCTGAGCGGGGGCATTCCGGCGAGCGGAGCGAGTGTCCGATTTAGGGTTGGTATATAATCATGTTGGGGAGATGTTGGCTGCGGATAGCACCAGTTCAAATGGGGGGTCGCAATGATGAGCACAATCACGGGGGTGAACCTCGACGAGATTCAGGAGCTACAGGAGCAAGCCGGGAAGTTCAAGAACAGAGCATTGGGTCGGCATTTATCTAACTCTCGAAAGCCTACAGGCATGGGCTACGAGCACGCGGAAATCCACGCCCGGAGTTCTGCGCTGATGTGCCAGAGGGGCGTTGGATGAACTTGACGAGATCGGTTCGGACTTGAACGTTGTTTCCCCGCCCAGCGACATGATGGACCTGTCGCGTTGGCATGTGGCACGCGGTATGGAGCAATAGGGGCTGCGGCCAGGCGAAGTTCATCTCTGGTCTAGAGCACGTCCCTAAGGGAGTATTGCATCAGGAAGTGGAGGAGATCACCGCGGAGCAGATCTACCAAGCCACGGCCGGCACGAACGCGAAGGAGTCGAAGGGGGCAGACATGATGAGACCACTGGCAGTTCAGAGACTACTGCACCGAGCAGTCGATCAGCTGCGCGACGCCCCGCGCGAGGTGGAGCAGCAGGGCGCGAGACCAGTCAGCTACGTCTGATAATCGGCGCGGTCGCTCCGAAGCCACGTGGAGTAGATGGGGCCTCCTTTTTGTTGTCAAGTATTGCGCGAAGGTGCGCAGTTCAGAGACACTCCACCGGACGTGCGACGCAGATGACCATTGGGATGCCGCCATGCGCGGGTCGTCAGCACTGCAGGCGGCACGGAGCTTGCTGGGCGAATCAGCGCGAGACTTACATAGTTCATCGTCGACGCTGTTGTTGGACACCGAGAAATGTTACGACCGCGTGGATTCCGCGAAATTGCGCGCGGCGGCCTGGACACGAGGCTTTTCAGCAATGGTGCTGTTGGAGTTGCAAATGTACTTGGCCCCGCGTGCACTCAGAGATCGCAGCGTGAAGATAATGCTGAACTCTTTCGTGGACGATGCGGCCATGCGAGCTGATGGCGCAGAGAAGGAAGTCATGGCCACAATGGTCGAGGTTGGGAGGCACGTATGCGGGCAGTTTCAGCGGGCATGTTTGGTCATCAGCGACATGACGGCCCCGCTGGGATCTACCACGAGCACTGCGCATCAAGTCGCGGAAGGACTTGAGCGAACAGGTGCCCCGGCCACATCTACATTAGAAGCGGTCGATCTTGGGGCGGGCGCCGCGGCCGGGGAACGCAGATATTGTAGAAGGGCCGATGAGCGGAAGGCGAAGGCGAAGAAGCGAACCAAGGTAATGCGCACGATGAGAAGGCGCGCCAAGCTCCGAAGCACCACGTCGCCCCTGTGGGCCACGGGAGCAAGTGCGCAGATCTCTTGCGCGCCCCGAGCTCACGGAACGCCAGGCTACGCGATGGCGGGTCCACGGCGAAAAGCGGCGCAATGTGTAGCTGGGTCGGGGCCATGACTTGTCTGACCACATCACTGGCTATGGTCATTAAGGACCAAGGCTTCTGCGAAGTCCACGCGTCGTGAGCACGTTTACCTATGGCCTCAGACGCGGCGAAAGAATCCAGAACTTCACTCGCGCATTGCGTAGGCCTGGGACAGCATTCGCAAGTGGCTGCTGTTTTCGGGGCCGAGGCGGTGGAGACTGGTGAAGGGGCCGATTGGAGCTACAGTGGCCACGTTGATGGAGACATGGATGGACGCCACATTATCCTGCGCTGTGGGAGTCAGGCCAAACTACATGGACCATCCTTTCGTGCGCGGGTGCAGAGCTCGCAGTTCCATTGAGATTTCACGGAGGTTCAGGCAGCCCCAGGGCATGGCGTCGCACCACCTCGACAGCGGCGACTTGCAGAGCGGCGCCGACATGCATCCGGCGCGCAGGGAGTTGAAGCGCCTCAGATTTGACGACGCCAGCGACGACTGGGCGCTGAATGCGGCGGCCGTGGCGGGCGGCCCGTGGACGCGATAGAGGCCGAGCCAGGCGGGGCACAGTGTCCCCGGCCTCCTCTGCCCGAGGTGCCAGGCTGGTAAAGAAGGCACCTGAGAGTTTGTTTCGCCGCAGTTGGGGGGTGCGAGGCCAAAGCTGCCCGCGAAGACTCCGAGACATCCGAGGCGCGCGCCCGCCCCGGGCGAGAACGAACTTCGAGACCTCTCCGAGTTTAGGGGGCCACTCGCGAACCCTAGCCCTACCCCCCGCGATTTCCGAGGGGGCGGGTGGGGTTCACTTCCCTCGGGGGGGTAGAGGTAGGGTTCACATGTGGCCCCCGATTGTTGGCTCAGGGGGATCCCGAGTCGGGCGGGGGCGGCCCCGACTTTTCATGCTGGGCCTCCCTTGGTTTTCGATTTCGGTTCGTTTCAGGACATCCCCAGGGGCGCCGAAGGTATCGCTGTCGCGTCCGGGGACGGGCCGGGGGGGAGGTCACCGGGCGACCCATCGGCGTCGACGGGTTGGTGCTGTGACGAACGGACAACACGCACCCATACCCATAGGGGGGTCGTTGGGAGGAGGACTGGACACCCCCATAGCCCTCTCCGACCCCTCTATTATGGGTGTGTGTTGTTGGTTCGTCATTCTGGAGTAGTTGCGCTGGCCCGTCAGGGCAGCAGTGGAGGTCGGTCTGGGGCTTCGGGTCCACCCTCCAAGAAGGAGGCAGAGCGTCCCGCGCGCGGAGACCACCGCCTCCGCAAATGCCGTCGACGCGACCCCAGGCCGACTCAGGTTTGCAATTGGCCACCTCCCGCTTTTGAGCTCCTGGGCCAAAGGTCGGAAGTTCGGTCTTGAGTGCCTCGATGGGGGGGGCTCAATGCGGACCTTTGGGTCGGGATCGCGGCGGCACTGCGAGCCAGAGAGCCAGCAGGTGTCGAAGTTACATGGGCGGCCTCCCACCAAGAGGAGGCCGCGCTCCGAGATCGAGATAGGGCTTCTCTAGTGCACGGCAACGACTGTGCCGATGCGCTAGATGGCCCCCGTGGCAGAAATGTCATGGACTGAGTTCGTGCTCACTGACCCCTTCCCCACTGACAGACGCTGACGCGTTTTTGATCCGTCGGCGCGCGCGTCGGGCCATGGGGCTGTCCATTGGGTCGGATCCCTGGACCGCTGAGCGCCCGACGGTTGAGAGAATGAAACCCTTCCCCAAGTTCTGACGGTTTAAAGGGCTTCGGAGCATCGGTGGTGTAGTGTCGTGCGGGTGCTAAGTGTTTTTGCGCCGTGTGCTCGTGTTTTGTTTAACCCGATTGGAATGTGTAAGCGCGTGAGTCCCTTCGTGGCCCGAGGCGAGCTCGGGTATCCGAACCGATCCGAGGGACCAAGGTTGTGGCTGGCAAAGAGCTCCATGCCTCTCGCACGCTTCAGTACTGGAGTAGGTAACGTGTAACGTTCTGCAGCGCGTGTGGGTTTAGCTGCACCCCCGGCCCCCGGCAGCTTGCGAAGGTGTGGCGCCCAACCCGCAAGGGCAAGCACAACCCAGCGAGAGTTAAGTCGGGTCGCTGCCCTCGCCCGTCGGGCCCCCCAAAGCCTTCCCTGAGGCTGAGCAGAGTCGGTTACAGCAGTAAGGTAGGCTAGTGGACTTTCGTCGTGCTTTTTCTTGGAAGAATATTCCTGGAACGCGCCTCCTCCTCCTCCTCCCCCTCCTCCTCCTCCTCCTCCTCCTCTCCCTCCTCCTCCCCCTCCCCTTCCTCCTTCTCCACCTCCTCCTCCTCCTCCTCCTCCTCCTCCTCCTCCTCATCCTCCTCCTCCTCCGCCTCCCCCTCGGAGAGGCGCGGCGGCGAGAGGGCTCCTCCCCGGAGCCGCCCCCGAAGGTGCGCCGCCCCGCAGCCGCTTCGTTCGCCGTCGCCACCGCAGTGTCGTCGTCGGCGTGTCGTCGGCGTCGGGGGCGTCGCCAGTTGCGTCGCCATCGGCGTGTCCTCCCTCCCTTTTAGAGCATTGCGCGGGGGACGAGGAGGAGGACGACGGCGAGGAGGAGGAGGAGGAGGAGCAGGAAGAGGAGGAGGAGGAGGAGGAGGAGGAGGAGGAGGAGGAGGAGGAGGAGGCGGAACACGAGGAGGAGGAGGAGGAAGAGGAGGAGGAGGAGGAGGAGGGGGAGGAGGAGGAGGAAAAGGAGGAGGAGAAGGAGGAGGAGGAGGGGGAGATCAGGAGGAAGAGTGGGGAGGAGCAGAAACATGCGGAGGAGCACCAAGGGGGAGTAGGCGGCGGAGGGAAAGACGCCAAGGGCAAATGGGGGAGGAGCCAGGTGACCCCGAAGGGAAGGCAGGAGCAGCAGCAGAATTCTTAAATGCACGTTTGGCGGATGTGTCCGGGAGCCACTTTCCGGATGTGATCGACTCTAATTCGATTCAAGTTCGATTCATATTCGAGTTTTATTGATTCACGCTCGGCTCAAATCGACGGACATTTGACGCAGCATCGACGCATCGCATGAGTGGAGCGAGTGGCTCCAAGAGGGCTCCAGAATAAGCATCTGAGGCAACGGATGATCAGGAGGGAATCCGTTCCGTGCCTTTCCTTGCTTCCCTCCTTTCCCTTTTCCTTTCCTTTCTCAAACAGGTCCCCCGCTCCGCCTTCTTCTTCAGTCTACAACAGTCGAGCATCTGATGAAGAAGGCCTCCACCCCGACAAGCTGGGCCAGCGCTTCTGCACCAACTCGCCGGAAAGCTGGGCCGGCGCCTCTGGCGCACGCCCTCGCCCCGTCCAGCGTCGGCACGAAGGCTTGGCCCCCACTTGTCGCGAGAGACTTCTGGGAAGCTGGCCCGGGTTTCGGAAGGGATGCCATGTTCTCGAGGATCTGGAACCCCTCGGCTTCCTGAGGAAACCCATGAGATCCCTTGGGAGACATCCGCTGGAATCCCCAGGACACGCACAGAGAGGGCTCCTTCGGAAATCCGTCGGCTTCCTTCGGAAACCCACCACCTCGGTAAAATCAGCGATTTTGGCATTCTCGCCGAGGCCTCTTGGAGCGTCTTGAGTGCCTCTTGGGGCCTCTTGGAGGTCTCCTGGGGGCATCCTGGGAGCTTCTTGGTTCGACGTGCGGACGGCGAGGCTCGAGGCCCCGCGGGCGGCCGCCGCAGGCAGGGCCCCCCGTCTTCCCCCCCCCCTCCCCGCAGGCCCGAGGTGCGCCGGAGGCCTCGTGGCCGCCCTCCCGCCCCGCGCACGCCCCGAGCCTGCGCACGCCCCGTGCTCCTCCTCCTCCCCCTCCCCACCCTCCTCCTCCTCCTCCTCGTCCTCCTCCTCCTCCTCCTCCTCCTCCTCCTCCTCCTCGTCCTCCTCCTCCTCCTCATCCTCCTCCTCCTCCTCCTCCTCCTCCTCCTCCTCCTCACTCCTCCTCCTCCTCCCTCCTCCTCCTCCTCCTCCTCCTCCTCCTCCTCCTCCTCCTCCTCCTCCTCCTCCTCCCCACGGCTATGCTTCCGAGCTCCTCCCCGTGCTCGGGCTCCCGCCCGGTCGCGGGGGGCGCAGCGGTGCCGTTCCCCCCCCCCCCTTAGCCGCCCTCTCTCGGAGGGGGGCGGGGATCCCAGGCCGGTGCCCTTCCCTCGTTTCCCCCCTTTGGGGGGCCTCCTGGGGGGCCCTCGTCGCCACCGCCGGGCTCGAACGCGCCCCGGGAGAGGTCCAGGGAGCAGCGGTCTCCGTGTATCGCTTGGTTTCTCATGATGCTTCCTCTCGGAATCCCGATTCCTGTTTGGATTTCTCTTCAATTCCTAATCCACCTCCGCTCTG